TTGAATTTTATATGTTTGTCAGAGAAGACACTCAAAGATATATGTGATGTCAACTAACAAAGGGCCAGCGTGATTGACTAAGGCCAACTCTCTAATTTAGAGTAGGCTCCGAACCCGTCATTGGGGACGTATAGTTGAACATTCTCTTTGAAAAACGTAGAGATTATGTTTTATACAAAGTGTCTCGGCAGAGTCATGATGTTTAGATCGTTAAATGTTGCAAAAATAATGCATTATACTATAGCAAGCTGCATCAAATCCTGTTCCCCTTGTCCTCACATCGATCGATCATTGAATGGGGTGAAATAAATTCAACCGTAACATTTAGGGGTCCGTCGAATAAAATTATAACAATAAAATTCGATATTAAACCTTATTTTCAATTTATATAGGATCTTTTTTAATTCATCGAATTCGTTTTCTCAAAGATGTTAATAATATCTAAATTTTTCTTTTTTTTTGTATTTTGGCGACTAGTTTCATGAATTTGAAAACCGAACTCTATCTTTATCCATTTCTGCTTATCCGAGGTCTGTATATTAAAAAAATAAATACAATCGATTTGGTTCACATTAACACAATGTAGGTCGCAATATTAATAGTAAAGTATTATCTCTTGTTGGAGATCGATCGAAAAATATTCGGATCGATTTGAAAGATCGAATTTTTACTTCCCTGATTCTTCTATGGTTTATTAGTTATATTGAGTTTAACAATTGTGGGTAGTTTACTAATACTAATTTATTCATTGGATTAAATTATTTATTTTTCCTATAAACAAGAAACCCCGAGTAGAGAGTCTCTCATTACGAGTAATACGTTTTTCATACGGAAGTCTCGGCTTGAGATGTTATTCTACTTATTTTATAGGGTTCGGAGACCGACCCACTCGTGCCCTTAATTATGTAGCAATTTACCCTAAGAATGTTCTCGCAAATATTCTATTAATTCACTATATTTTATTGCCAAAAACGTGATATTAATACATTATGCTTTTATTTCCTTTGTCAATATCCCTATCACTATACCCGAATTACCCGAGATAAGTATTACTAGTTATTGCTCGCGACTTCGTTCGCGCGGTAAAAAAAATAACTTAGTTAGAAATCAAGTCTTCCACACTTTGCTCTACATCTGTTACGCAATAACTACACATTAGTTAATCAGTTTTGGATACAAGTAGTAACAATTATCCATACATTAATGTAAACTTTCGCATTTACAATTAGGTATGATTATAAAAATGTTTCGTCAGTGAAAACTCATGTTCATCATTAATTATATCCTTTGATATTTTATGCATCAATTGTTTTGTTTTATGAAGATTTTATTAAAATTATTTACAAAAACATAACCAAGATAATTATTATCTCTGTATACCCATGTATCGTAACTGCGAACTCGATTGCTTCGGAAATATCGAATCATAAAACAATCCAATAGTGATATATCGCACGGGAGAGTTACTTTGAATCACTGGACCCCAGTTTATTTTATCGACCAATCATGGTACGGGCAAAAAACTTGAACCGAAATATTTTGGGGTCCGCCGTTTGCTACACGATGACCTCGAATATCTGTTCGATTTTATTATGCAATCAAATTGGAATTCAAGTAAAATAAGGCATTATTTTTAAAAATGTTTTTATCTCAGTATACCTCTTTCTTACATTCACATTTTACTTTAAACAAGTTGTCGCCCTCAAACTTTGCTAGCGCAAATTTGGACCACCCGTTCCGCCATTTTGACAGCGCGGAATTCAAAAAACAGTAGCCCATAACATGCCTATCCATGTCCGCTTAACTCCAGTGAAAGTATCGTCGAAATCGGCCCAGCCATTTCGGAAATTACCTGGAACAAACGCGGCTTGCGGACAAACAGACAGACAGATAGACAATGTTTTTTTATGCAACAACACAAATACATCATCTTCCCGAAATCTGGATTTTTTTTTTTTATATTACAGACACTCCAATTTTATATGTGTAGATAAGTGCATATAACGACAAACTATTATGCGTGGTAAAAAAAATCTAATAGATTTTTTCCAAAGGGCACATAAAGTTAGCTAACATGACACGTGCTGTACTGAACAAACGTCGAACCTTTCAATACGTGCTATTTTAAAATCAAATGTCAACGCAGCTATTTATTACATGGGAGTGCGCTTTTACATCTAGCTTGCGTAAGGTAAAACTGAAATCCCCCTTACATCTGTTTTTATCAAAATAAACTAACAATAGTTTTATTTACTGAGACATTGACATGCTTCTTAGCCTTTCTGCGTCCAATCAGTGCCAGCTGCGTCTACGCACGCTACGCCATCCCACTCTCAACCATTGCACTACCTGGGACTCTTTAGGGAGGCGGAGGGGCAGAACCCCGTAGACACTCCAAAAATGAAAATTAGTTACTAAATTGCTACAAGTAAGATCATGGAAATGGTATCTGCTCCCCCCCCCTACTAGCTTAAATTCTCGACTGACGACGTGGCGCAACGTAAACCTAAATGTGGCTCCTATACTCATGAGTTTGGTTATTCTTTATAATATTTTTTTATAATAATATAAGATGGCAAACGAGCAAGCGGTCACCTAAATCCATCGAAATGGAAAGCGACCGCTACCCATGAACATCCGCAATTGCAGATGCGTTGCCTATCCTTAATTGACGGAGGAGGAGACGCACATAAAAGGGGATATTTCACCTTCCTACGCGTCTCCTCCACCGTCAAATTCACTTTTGCTTCTCATCCTTTCGTCTTAAGTAAACGATGGAAAGGAAAAGGGACTGATATTAGGCCTCCAGCCTCCGTTCTTTCCACAGTGTGATTGAATCTCCACTTAACGAATAAATAAAATGGAAATGTCGGGTGCATTTATTATGCTGCAAATTATATGTAATGGTATCATGTTGCCAAAGACGGATATTAAAAAAATTAACCGAACCTCTTAATATTTTACTTTTCGTTCTGCCTACCCTTGCAGCGCACATTGGTATATTTAAGTTTAATATAAAATTAATTTGTTAAAGTTAAAATGTATACTAATACTAGTTTTCGCCCGCAACTCCGCCCGCGTGGAGTAAAAAAAACAAAAGCAAGTAGCCTATGTGTTATTCCAAACTATCCTCTACATGTATGCCAAATTTCATCGAGATCCCTTCAGCTATTTAGGCTACAAACTCTAACATCCATCCATCCATCTAAACTTTCACATTTAAAATATTAAGTAAGATTATAAAAATGCTTGGATGTTCTTATTGCTTTTTTTTTCTTCTTAAATTTAACACGGATGAAGTCGCGAGCAACGGTTAGTGTTATATTAAACTAGTGGTCCACAAATTTAAAGGCGGTTAAAAAAGTTTTTATGGCTTTCATCATATTTCTATCGTCAAAAGAATTTTTATTTTTCACAGACTGGTCCGCAATACGCCGGCAGGTTCATAGAATCGTTAACTATCATTTACATTATTTATGTCGTTGAAATAACGTCAATTTTTAATGAGGCAGGCAAAAGTTTTAAATGTACTGATATTTATGAACCCCTTCATGCTAGAGCGTGCGCACACCTGGAACTAAACTATCGCATAACTGTTTAGTCTCGCTTTGATTCCTATACGGAGGCCTAATTGAACTCCCTTTCTCTTTACCGCACTTTTTTTTTAAAAAAGAGGATTGGAAGTTGAAGTGGATTTGACGGAGGAGGAGATACATAGGAAGGAGAAATACCCTCTTTATGTGCGTCTCCTCCTCTGTCGGATAAGGGTAAGCAATTGCGGATGTCTATGAGCAGCGGTCGCTTCGCCATTTTGGCGGATTCAGGTGGCTGCTTGCTCGTTTGCCACCTTATGTTATATAAAAAAAATATGAGCTTATATGTAGCGCACACTACTCCATTTTTAGTTGTGCAACTAAAGAGTTGAATTGAATACGAAACAAACGACTATCGACCAAATAGTTGTGCGAGAGTTTAATCAAAGGTGTGCCCGCTCTTAAGCTAATTTTTATGATATTACCTGCAGTTGTTTTTTTTTTAAATATATCCGGTAAAAGACTTTTCTAAACATTTTTTTCTTAAATCTATCTGTAAGTATCTTTGAAAAAAATCAAATTAAGGTGTCAATCACAAAAAAATGTATTAACGATTTTGTAGAAAAAAGATTACTGTCCAAAAAACTGTCACGAAAATGAAATATTAATAAACAGTGACAAAAGAAGCCGACTCCTTGACCCTGTTGAACCGAAAGCAACAAAAGTAAAGATGTTTAAGGTACTTGAAATATTCAAGTATGAGATAACGACAGAAAAGACGATTATTTAATCTGTCGCGAACAAAGTTACTGTTGAATAACCGTAGATTTCCACTCACGTAACATTTGTACTGATACAAATTGTTGTCCCTTTCGTTACCCTTTGTGAAACACAGATTACAATATTTATTAATGTATAAATGCCGCAGTAGTGAAATTCTACGCTATGTGCCCACCGCGGCCGCTGTCGCCGCGCTGGAGACAACCGAAATCTCAGTACGGATATCCGACAGGATGTCTTTATTCGAGATAAATTCTAATACATTTTCTACAGACCATTTATTTTAGTAAAATGACTTTTTTTTAACAAAATGGTTGAAGATTCATCGGAAAAATATTTTATTTGTATTTTTCACACAACATTTTTTCTTTTTCCGAATACAGGATTAATAAAAAAAATACGGTTTTTATTTAGTTTTTTTTATGAAAAAGTATTTCATTTCTTTAACTTGAGTAATTCTTTAAAAGTAATATTTTTATAAAGTCGTTTTAATAAAAACAAGTGTTGTTTTTTTAATTTTTTAGTATCCTATAATTTAAAAAAGCATTTAAATACTATGAAATTCCGCAATCGCAGAGCCGAATATATTTTTTTCTTCGCAATAGCCGCTAACAACGCGCCGAGCGACTATAAAAATCTCATCAAAATTAAACTAAGTACCTGAAACAAAGAAAAAAATATAATTACCTCTTGGGCCGATCGCGACGCCTCGCGCCATAGTTTAGTCCGAACATTTCGCACTGAGTCATTATTTATCCGTCCGTGTAAACTTTGAGCGCACACATCGCAGGCGGGTAATACCGACGACCAACCGCCACGAAAGCTCTCTTCTGACTGAACGCAGGCAGTGGTCGCTCTGAGGGTGTCCCACTACCCTCCCCTTTGTCCCCCGGTAGCCCCCGCCGCTCCCCTCTACAACCCCACCAGGAGGGTCGTCAGTTCCCCGATATTCTGAACTGACCAGTCCCACACAGATTCCTAATCCAAATCCTTTGACCAAAATTTTGCACAAACGGATTAGTGCGGACCTCGCCGCTTTTGTTAGTCAAATTTATATTGACACTAGCTTCTGCCTGCGACTTTGTTCGCGCGGATTTACAAATAAACTTATTAAGTTTGTGTTCTTCCAGATTTTGTTTTACATCTGTGTCATGTTATAATGATATTTTGTAGGCCGTTGTTACGTGTTAACAAGCATCCATATATCGAAAAAATCTTTACTAATGTTATAAATAAGGAATGTTTGTATTTTTGGATTTTTGTTGATTGCCGCAAAAACTACTGAGCTGTTTTTAAAAATTCTTTCACCATTGGAAAGGTAATTTATCTGTGAGTAACGTAAGCTATATTTTTTATTATTTATTGATTCCACACAGGCGAGGTCGCGAGAAACAGCTAGTGTATTATATAAAGTATAATTTAGTTTTAGCGCGTGATTTCGTCCTCAAAATTCATTTTAGTTTAGACTAGCTGTTCCCATGCGACTTCATGCGCATGGATTATAAAAAGTTCATTTTATTGTTCAAATTTGTCAAATTATCAATTGCAAATGTCAAAATGACATGACATGATGTCAAACCATGGCAACCTTGCTTCCTTGATGTTGGCAACAACTTATGGTCTGTTTCCCACATTAGAGTTTTATATCCAAAATTTTTACCCCTAAGTTTAACGGCGTGAAAATATATAACCTAAAGCATACCGTGAGTGTATGACTTTTTTAAAAAAAAAGAGTTGTTCGAAAATATGCTGTGATTTCTGACATCTTAGGCAACAAAGAAGTGTGTGTTTACGCTTTATTATAATAGTATAGTATAGAAATTATTGGTTTGTTTTAAAACTTTAATTTGAAATCCATTGAAATATTATAATGAGTTTGTATTTATTTCTCTGTTACTAGTTTAATTGTAATTATATATATTCGTTGGTCAGTTCATTGTTAATCAGTACAAAAGAGCTTTTCAATTATTAAATAAAATAACTATAGTAATTGATAATAAATATGGAGACTTCATTTAAAATAACAATTCACTTTGAACTCAATATACGAGTATTTTGATGTAGCGAATAACATTTACATTTGTGTTATTTCATTATTTTTCTACAAAACCTCTGAGAACGGCACACCTTTGACTAAACTATCGCACAACTGTTGTGCGATTGTCGATTGTTTCGCAGCCAACTATTTAGTTGTACAAGTAAAAATCGAGTAATGTGCCCATCTCTCTATACAAGCTACTAGCTTTCGCCCGCGACTCCGTCCGCGTGAAATTAAAAAAAAAAACAAAAGTGAGTATCCTATGTGTTTTTTCAGACTATCCTCTGTTCTCTCTCTTCAGCCGTTTAGGCTACAAACTCTAACAAACATCACTCCATCCATCCATCCATCTAAACTTTCGCATTTATAATACTAGTAAGAAGTAAGATTAGTAAGATTTGAGCTTAGAAATATAGAAATAAATAAGAATTATATTTTTAAATACATTTCTTATATCCATGCAAGGTAAATTGTTCTTTTAAATAATTACTTACATATAAAAGGATTTCCACAACTTTGTCAATTTGCCTTTGGCATTAATTGTTTAAAGAAAAGAAAACTGGAAAATGTAATTAACAGATAATTTGTTATTCTAGCTAAAAAGAGGTTTCTAGGATACCTCTACCACCTTATTACAAGTTTTTTTCCAAAGAAAACATATAAAAAGTTTAATGTGAAGTCGGTGTCAGTCAATTTAGATTCATTACTTAAACGTTACTATACTTTCAACTGTCAATTGTTATGGTACAAATGTAGAAAGCCTTACGTATAAATATCACTGCATATGTACCTTGGCTAACACTGACATCAAAGTAATAATAATTGTACAATACAGACATAACAGCTACAATAAGGGAGGTTTACTATTTTTAAGGAATTATTTCATTACTTTTTAGTGTACTGTTTTTTTGAGAATATTTTGTTTTTAGTGTATTTTGTTTCGAAGTCGGTTTTGTTTTTTTTATTATATATAATTTAAGTTCAGAGCTGAATAAATAAACTAATAAACTATATTAATGTGATAGGAGCGATTATCTGAGTGCCGAGCTATCCGGCACTTTATAATGCGCAACTTGTTTGCAAAGTATAAGTTTTTCTCTCTCCAATGGAAATTTTAAAGATGGAACAAAGTACGCCTTAAATTGCTGCGATCCTTTTATACTTTTTATGAAACTGTTGCTCTTTCATAGAAAAAACTGACGAAGGAAATTTCATTTTTCCACAATCTCAACGTTTAAATAATAATTTCCAAGCACATTTAGTTTGAGATTTATTTCTTACTAGATACCTAGGATACAAAGGTCATAAAACTAAGCGGTTGTCATACGAACAATATGTATTGTTTAAATTCGGTCACAGGTCACCTTGAGCTCGGCGACAGGAATATCAAAGTACATATTCCAAGTCAAACGAAACGGGAGACATTTGTGTTCAACGGACCGCGTCATGCATCCACCGAAGCGGTCCTATACCAACATATACTAAATTGTCTTGAAACCGCAACCACCGTAATAATAGAATTCGTTACAACGCCATATTCTCCTCTATATGTTTCTAGATTAGATTAGAAAATGACAAAGCAGGATTACCTGAAACCACACAACAGACAAGAAAATAAGCAGATGATACATGAATAAGTTCAGGAGACAGAAATTAGCACTGCGCTGTCCATAAACATCCTTAAAAGCAGATTTGTTACCTTTAATTGACAGAAGAGGCAACAAAGATATATCTCGTTAGAGAATACTTGACTGTCCTCGCCTCTGACAAATCCACTTCTTCCCATCCTTTTCTTATAAGGAATAATGTGGATGTTAGTCAGCCGGCGCACACACTCATCAGACGAAATGCAGAATTGCATCTACTTCACGACTATCTTCTATGTGATCGTGACTTCGGGTAAATCGGTCCATTCGTGCAAAAAATGGAGCTGTTTTTGACGTTCGCCACTGTTAAAAAATTAAGGGAAGAACAATTAAATTATATCTATCCTTCTTTCCGTAGAAAATATACTTGGGAGGATTAGATTTAGGCCTCTCGGCACACTAGTTCTGTGCTCTTACTCTTTATACTAAACGATGTTATGAGAATCTCAAACAATTGATAAATTATGTTACAAAATGATAAGATGTCAAAGTGAATACCTAAAACCTAACCCTATTTTCTGAATTAGGAACATGAGTGCCTAATTATTTATTTATAAGTATTATAAGGCAAAGTTTTGTAACGATTTAAATGAATCTCGCGTACCAAATGCTTTTTATTAAAAATCAAGTCAAAGTCAGCCCTTATTCGATTTATGAGTTAATAAAGAACTTAATGGAAAACAGATACTTGCTTTTACAGTAATAAAACAAGCAAAACTCATTACATCGAGCGTAAACATATTCCGAGCACGATTATACTAAAAAGAAATATTTTTCTTGTAAAGAAATCCAGCAAACTTCAACAACTTGTTAAATAATTTTCTTTTGTTACTTGTAATAGCGGACTTCCACTATAATAACATTTAAAAAAAATGTACATATTAAACATACACATTTTGTCAAAATGTTTGTTGTTTAAATAAACGCTTATTTTTACGTTTTCAATATGCTTTAAAATATGAATTTATTTAACACGTACCAAATTCAATTTTAGTGCGTTATTTTCAGTATTTGCTCTTTGTGTTCATAATCTGTTGAATATGCATTCATGAATGACCAATAGAATCGAATTTAAAATATCAAATACTCGCGTCCAGAAATATTCACAACAGTTTTATTTGCGTTCCAAGCAAATATTTATAGTTTCTACATAAAATAATTATTTTTAAATGTAAATGTTACGTTTGACATTATATCGGTAATGCCTAGCTTGTAAATGTGTGCCTAATATAGAAATAAAGTGACTTCGGTAAGTATAACAAAACAAGATTAGAAATTTACCATATGGTACTAAAGCTGGTATTCATAAACCTGACAACCAACCAAAACATATACAAAATCCGTGACGCAAAACCTAACGTGTGTAGCCTGCATTATGAAAATTGAATATAATATTTAGCTGAATAATGCTTGGTTTCTGAAGTACCCATTAATTTTTTGATTACAGGAGGTCCAACTCTGGTCTCTTTTCCTTCCCACCCTTATTCTCATAAGGATAGGATAGAAAGGGAACGTGGATTTGACGGTGCAGGAGACGCATAGGAAGGGAAAATATCTTTATGTGCGTCTCCTCCTCCGTCGATGAAGGGAACGCATCCGCTGCTACGAATGTCTATTGACAGCGGACGCTTCTCCATTTTGGTGGATTCAGGTGGCCGTTTGCTTGTTTGCCACGTTATGACAACAACCTTGAGATTCATTACTTTTAGGTTGACTTATGTTTCAACGAGGTAAAACTAAAGTTACGTAGTTCAACTAATTAAATAAAGTTATCGAACCTAAAACTAATGGTTTAACGTAGCTGGGAAACTGGACTTAAGTGATTGTTAAAATTGACTGAGGGAATAAAGCTCATGTATTTCTGTATAGGTCTTCACAACAATAGTTGGTGTACAGTTGCTCGGTACAACAGCCTGCATTGCGTACAGTAGCGCTGGGTTTTGTACCACGACTGGTATTGTTCCAGAAGGTACATCGTTACCTAACAATTTCATATTCTCTAACATAACATGTTGACGTGGCTAAATAGAGAATCCCGACAGAATTAAACATTTCTGCTAAACGTGATATTGCTTGAAATATTTCAGAATTCAACAAATAT